ATCATATGATCCCACTTATGAGAAGCACTTAGAATCAGAGAGCTGAACAAAGGATGACAGAAGAAGAATCAAAGCCTTCGAGTTGTGGTGCTGGAGAAGAGTCCTGAACATACCACGGACCACCAGGAGAACAAATAGGTCTGTCTTGGAGAGAGTGAAACCAAGTTTCTCCTCAAAGGCAAGGATTTTGAAGCCCCATCTCACATATATAGGGCATGTGACCAGGAGGAACTAGTCCTTGGAGAAGGACATCATGCTTGGAAAGGTGGAGGGACAGCGGAGGAGAGGAAGACCCCCAGATGAGATGGCTTGACCAGGTAACTGGGGCAATGGGATTAGGAGTGTCGGAGTCAGTGAGATGGGCTCAGGATTGGGCAGCATTCAGAGCGATTGTGCATATGGTCACTAAGAGTCATACGCGACATGATGGCACATAACAAGAACTACAATAGAAGTTAAGAGGAGAACAGGGGTTGCCAGGGCTGATGGGACAGGGGGAGATTGAGAAGTGGCTGCTAATGGGTATAGATTTTCTTTGTGGGATGATAAAAATGTTCTAGAATTAGACATGGTGATGAACATACTGGGAAAACAGAACACAACCAAACCCCCATAAATCCACTTTAAAATGATGACCTTTATAATATGTGAATTATATTTTTATAAAGCCTGTTCTTTTTTAAATTACCAGAAAATATAGAACAGCCTGACAAATGAAGGAGATAGAGAAAAAACAACAAACCAGCTCAAAACAAAAACAAAACCACCTACTGCTGCTGAGTTCATTCCAACCCATAGGGACTCCAAAGGCTAGAGCAGAACTGCCTGTCAGCTTTCTGAAACTGTAATCTCTACTCATTGCTGTTGAGTTGGAAATGACCCTCCAGTGGGTTTTCAAAGGTGTTAAACCACACAGGAGAAGACAGTCCATCCTTCTCTCTTGGAGCATCTGGTGGATTCAAACCACTTGGTTTTGAGTTGACAGTGTAACTGCTTAACCACTAGGCCACCAGAGCTCCCCTTACAGAAGCATGATGCCATATTTTTCCCCCTCAGCGTGGCTGATGGGTTTGAACCACTGACCTCTTGGTTTAGTAGATCAACACTTAACCCACCGTGCCACCATGGCTGCAAGAGGATGGAAAATCATGTCCAAAAGCCCATTTACAAGAGAGAGAGAGTTAGCATGTGATGTGGTTGTTCCAGAGCAGTGAGCGAGGATGGACTGTCCCAGAAACGGTTAGGGGGCATCTGGTTAATCAGGTGGGGAAAACATTTGAAAAGCAAGGTTGTATGCCTAGAATCCTGGAGTCACACAGTTATAGAATCATAGCAATTTTAGAACCAGAAAGGCCTCAGAGACTGTATGTGTCAATGATTTGCAAATCCCAGGAGACTGTCAAATAACAACAGAGGTACTAACAGTGGCAGTAACAATGTCTGCACAATCCTTATTTCCCAGATACTTTTCTAAAGTATTATCCTATATAGTACAGAGCTGATGGCCTAGTGGATAAAGAACTGTGTTGCTCACAAAGAGGTTTGACTGCACCAGCAGCTCTCTGGGAGAAAGCTGAGCACTCTCCTCCTGTGTGATTGACAGCCTCAGAAATGTAATGGAGGATCAGCTATGAGTAGGTTCTTACTTGACGACAATGAGGAATCATATAGTGAAGAGGCCTGGTGGTGTAGTGTGCTAAATGTTGGGATGCTAGGCAGAATGTTGGCGGCTGGAAGGCACCAACCACTTTGCAAGGGAAAGATGAGGTAGTGTCCTCCTGCAAAGATTTAGAGTCTCAGAAACCTGATAGAGCGCCACCATGAGTCAGAATTGACGGGATGGTGGTAAGTTTGGTTTTTGGTTTTATCACAGAGTCATTTATTTCATTGTCACAACACTTCTGTAAGGCAGACACCATTGTCACATTTTCTAAGCTGGACAATGGAAGTACAGATATATTAAATTATGTGCTTAAGGCTACACAAGGAGCCATTTGCTTCAGGACTGAGATTCTGCTCTTAAAATAGAGCATATGCTGATTCCCAGACTTTATCTCTAGACATTCTGATTCGGCATCTCTGGGCTGAGACCCAGGAATCTGCATTTTAAGCCACTGAGATGATTCAGATGCCATCAAGAGCTGAGAACCACTACTCTATCCCAGGTGGGATACAGGTAGCAAACAACTGACCCTCTGGCCACAGCTGGCCCACAGCCATGCTTTCTTTGGTCCACATGCTGTTGTTATGTTCTATCTAATCAAGACAAACTTACACCTGACCCTCCAGCAGTTTTTCCATAGGCTGTTTAATTGCAAGGGAGGACAGTGCCCATTTTTCTCCTACACAGCGTCTGGTGGATTCTAATCTTATGCCTTTGGGTTGGCAGTGCAACTCTTTACTAATAAGCCACCAGAGCTAACACTATGTATGGTCCACATAGTATTTTTGACTCTGATCCAAGAATTTAAAGTCAGTTGAGCTAAAAAAAAATAATTCTGGTTTATTTGGAGAGAATCTGGAAGATGTGGACACCATGTCTACTTTTCCAAATGGCAAGATTTGCTTGGTGCTGCATGGTAGCTGATGCCTTTTAGGGAGAGTGAATGCTTTTCAGAGGGCCTCGGTCCTCCACCCTTTATGTTCCTCTCCTGGATATTTCAGGCATTCACACTTTGTACAGAAAGGGAAACTGAGGCACACAGAAGGTTAAGGTGTCCTGAATGACAGTGAATCCAAACCATGAAATGGAGTAGAACTATCTCTTGATTCCCAAATCCGACAGTAATAATAACAACAGCTAACTTTTTTCTTTCCTCTTTTTTTAGGGGAGGGAATTTTCTATGCACTGGACACATCCGCTTAAGTGTTATCAAAGCACCAGCAAAAAACTAAGGTTTGACACAGTGGCTAGCTTATGGATTTAAACATAGTAGAGGTTGTGAGGATAACACAGGATCAGATGGGATTTCACTTGAATGTACACAAGGTCGCTATGAATCAAAGCCAACTCAATGGCACCTAACAACAGCAACAGCCTTTAAGCAGGTATCACGTGACTCTCATTTAAGAAATGAGAAAATTGAAGGAATGAGGAATCAGGTCAATTAAGGTCACACAGAGGACTCAGTTCATCCTTTGACTCCACAACTTTAGTCTTTGATCATTATCTTCCTCATTTTTTGCACTCTCAAGATAAAAAGAAACACATAATACAAATAAATTAACAGTTGTAAAATGAATTCCTATTAGATAGACTAGAACTGCCTCATAGAATTTTCCAGACTATTTTATGGAGACCAGACTGTCTCATCTTTCTTCCTTAGAGTGGTTGCTGGGCTCAACCCACAGCCTCCTCAGGGTGAAAAAAAAAAGCAGGGGACGAATCCTGTTTTTATGACTTTTTCCGCTCAAATATCTCAAGAGTTTCTGTGGATTAAGGGTAGTGGTGGGAGGCTCAGGCACAGATGGTGCTGACCTCATTTTCCCTGCAACATCCACAAACTCCTGATGCACCTCGAGCCCTTTGTGACCACGATCAAGGTGGAGGGGGAAAAGGCATGCTCTGTCCCTCCTGCAAATAGTAAGCTGATAGGCAAGTTTTCAGCAGAAGGGCGGAGGGGAGCGAGGAGCTGAACCATTTCAGCACCAAGGACAGCAGCTTCGCTCCCTGCCCGAAACCTTCCTTTTTTTTGGAGCACTCCTCCGGGGCTCTGGGCTCACGGGTTTGCCAAGAGCTTAGGGAAACTCAAACTCATAGTCTACTACACTTCCAGACAAAGCAGAATTCTTGAATTCCAGATCGCTTTTTAACGAAATCTAGACCATCTCTCCTGCCTTTCTTTGCCTCTGAGCTGATATTAAGAAACCCTTGCAAACGGCCTGCCCACCAGCCTGGGCCTCCTCCCCCTTCGCGCATGGGTATGGAAGCGAGAAGGGGAGCAAAAATCGGAGCGAGCGCAGCCTGCTTCTGCCAATGCCTCCGCCTATATCTTCCACGCGGTCAGGATAGCGTTGCCAGGGGCCTTGCTGTGAGCCCACCTGCCCTGAGCGCACAGTCGTCATGGCAACCAGAGAGGCCTGGAAAGCGATTGGCCCGCTCCCAGCCACACCCCTACACCACCGCTTCCTGGTAACTGAGGCAACAGTTGCCCTCCCCCAACCGAGAGAGGGTTATGTAGGAGCAGAGGATCCACCCCCAACCCACGAATGGCCCTTTCTCCAAAATAGTGACTAGTCTTGATACAGTAGTTAATTTATAGGAGAGAGGTGGGAGTATGGCCGCCTATTTCTAAACTCTTCGGGATGTGGCTGAGCTGTCAGGGAAGTCACTTCCGGTGGCTGCAGGAAGTGGGAGGCAGGTTGCTCAGAAAGACAATGGGACGAAGTGGAAGGAAGAAGAGGAGGGGGGGAATCCCAGGAAGGAGGGACAAAGGGAGACTCCAGGTCAAGTTTTTACAGGTTTTCACTCATTCCCTGAATCCGGCTAATTCCCTGAATCCGGCTAATTTTAAGAGCCCTAGAGGGGTTTTTTTTTCTACTAAGGATGCCTTGTTAATAATAAACTATGTTGCAATCCCAAAAGCACAGTTCGAATCCAGATGGGCAGTCTCCTCCTCTGTGATTAACTGTCTCTGAAAACCTGCTGGAGGGTCAGCTATGAGTCAGTTCTGACTTGACAGCACATGGCAGCAACAACAACAATGTTCTTTTTTTTTTTTTTTGACTGGTAACAACTTTATGAGTCCAAGGGAAAGCAGAATCAAATTGCCCCATCTTTCTCTCACAAAGCTACTGGTGAGTTTGAGGCGCTGATCTTTTTCAGTTAGCATTCAGTCCCTAGTCACTGCACCACTAGGCCTCTTAATAATACCAACATATTGATCAGCTTTTTACAGACTCTACCCCACTGAACTCCCATTGTAATCCAGTGATGGGAGCAGCGTTATCTCCTCCCAAACATCCCTAGCTTTACAGCAATCCGATTTGGCCCAGCTGACCTGCTTGGCTCTGTCGGGGTTCATTGTGGTTTGGGGTTGAAGGATGTTGACCACTTCAGGCTTGGTCATCGCTTGTGGGATTTCTCGGACCTTCTCGGCGATAAAGCTGTGCACAGCATTCAAGGCCTCTGCTGTGCCTTGTACCAGGCACACCCGCTCTGTGGTTCCTGTGGAGCCAGAATGAGAGAGGGCAGACACATCAGATGGGGAGGGTGACATTCCTGAGAGACAAGTCGCAAAGAATTGCCTATCCAGTCAACCTCGGCTCATGGCAACCGATGTGTCAGAATAGAACCGTATGGCATACAATTTTTGATGGCTGATTTTTTTTTCTAGTTGTTGATTGCCAGGTGTTTCTTCTGAGACAAGCCCCACTTAATGGAGGAGGATAACTGAGGCCCAGAGGGTGGGCCTGACTGGCTTGAGTCCACACAGAGAGCCCTAGGCAAGCCGGCATGGGCTTCTAAGGCCATAATGGGCAGCTGGGAGAATGAGTGGAATCCCTGTTTTATAATCTGCACTTCATCTCCCTCCCCTGAAACAGCTCCAGTGGATGGAAGAATGATGCTTAAGTGCTCTGCGATGCCCGAAGCAGCCCTGGGCAGGGGGAGACTGGGCTCAGCTGCTTCTTACCAGTCCTCGCTGGCTCCCAGTTGCTTTGGCAACCATTCACTTACTGTCCCCCCCTCCACCCCTTCTAGGAGCAGAGAGCTCAGGCCTGCAACGGTTGCCACAGTAACTGGAACCCCCTAATCGGTGTGGCTGGCCGGGTCCTCAGCCCACCCCCAGGGGGATGAGGGACGAGGCCCCGTTGCCATGGCAATCCCTGAAAGCCTGCAGCGAAGGCCTCTGGGCTTTTGGAGAGGATGGGGAAGGGCTGGGGGATGGAGGAGGTGGAAGAGAGGCCTGAGCGGCTGCCCAGACCCACCAGATGGAAGGCTGAGGGTGGGGGAGGGCAGGGGTGTGGAAAGGGGAGAGCAGGGTGGGTCAAAGGCAGTGCGTATGGGGCAGGGACACTGGGGACAGAAGGGTGAGGCCGAGGCCTTGGCTGGAGGACAGTCTCCAGATATTGGCTTGGCTTCTGGCCTGACCTGGGCATCTTCCTTTTTTCCTTTTGTATGTGTGTGTGTGTATGTTGTGCGTGTGTAAAAGAGAGAAGCTAACTCTAGGTGATGCTGTGATGTCTGTGAATGGGAGAGAGAATGTGAGTGACATTGTCACTAGTGTGTGGAGAGCACATGTGTGTAAGGGTGTGTGGACACACAGACACATACGCACTGTGTACACTTGGGTGGGACGGACAAATCTTTCTTTAGTTGTGTTTGTGTGTAGAGAAGAAAAAGCAGAGAGGCTGAGCTATAAACAAATGGTTGACACAGAAAGTCAAAAAGATGTTTCTGGGTGCCTCTGTGTGTGGAAAAAGACCTTGGATGTCACCATGAGGATCCGAGTCATGCAGGCTGTTTATGAGACAAAACTGAATCTGAGAGAAAGAAACAAAGGCTTTCACCAAGCAGTGCTGAGGCTGGGAGGTGAATGGATGGAGGTGTTTGCGTATGTGCGTGTGCGTGTGTGTGTGTGCGTGTGCGTGTGTGTGTGTGCACACGCACGCGTGTAAGTGAAAAACAGGGACAGTCGCTCCCCTCCAGGTGTTCATAAAATGATTCAGATGACTGATTTATGGTGTGTGTGAAGCTGTGCGTTCATGTGTGTACAGGAGACAGACAGGCAAGGGTCTAGGACAGAAGAGGGTGTGTGCATGTGTGAGAGAGACAGAAATACAAATAGGACAGGGGGGTGTCTATTTTGAGTGTGAATATGTGTGTATCTGTGTGTGTGACAGAGTGTGAGACAGAGTGGGCAGAGCAGGAGTGTGTGTGAGAAAGATGCGTGTGTGTGTATATATCTGTGTGTATATATCTCTATCTCTATCTATCTAGAGAGAGAGAAGGAGCAGGGGAGAAAGAGGAGAATAACACAAGTAGAGACAGAAAGAAGGGAGCGCTGGTGGTGCATCACCTTGCAGGATGCTCTGTTAATCCAAAAGTCACACTTCTGGTTGTGACTGAGGGAGAAGAAAGATGGGCAGTCTCTTATCATGATTCACAGCCTCAGAAACCTCATGGGAAAGACTTCTCATCTTTCTTCCATGGAGCAGCTGATGGATTCAAACCGCCTGCTTTTGGGTTGGCAGTGTAACTCTTTATCCACTAGGCTGCCAGAGCTGCCTGCAGATGTGTGTGTTTATATATATATGTATGTATATCTATCTGTATGTGTGTGTATATATATGTGTATATATATATATATATATATATATATATATATATATATATATATATACACACACACACACATACATATATACATACATATCTCTATCTCTATCTATCTATACACACATTTGTTTGGATGCAAGAGTGGCATCCAATTCCTAAACAACATGCCTTTGGAAACTCCATAATTTTTTTTTAAGATTTTTTCTGTGTACTGTCAAGTTGGATCTGACTGGCACAGGAGGAGATTGTCCCTCCTTCTCCAGCAGAGCATTGGGTGGATTCGAGCTGCTCACCTCTGGGAATGCAGGGCAGCTTCTTGCCACTAGGCCACCAGAGCTCGCCGAAACTCTATGAACTTTGAGAAATGATAGTTATAGGAAGGCTTCAGGTCTTTTGTTCACAGGGTCGCTATGAGTCATGCTCAACTCGACAACAATCAACAACAACATATACATTTACGTATATAATTATGTGTGTGTGTGTGTATACACACTCACATATATGAGCATACTCTTCTCATGCAATTTACTGGCTTTGAAATCCTGCTAACGGGGTTAGTATGAGTCATTTCTGACTCAAAGGCACATAAAAGTATCTATCTATCTATCTATCTATTTATCTATCTATCTATCCATCTATCAATCATCTATTATCTATCATCTATCAACTATCTATCCATCTATCAATCATCTATTATCTATCATCTATCTATCTATCATCTATGTATCTATCTATCATCTATCTATGTATCTATCATCTATCTGTCTGCTATCTATCTATCTATCTATCTATCTATCTATCTATCATCTATCTGTCTATCATCTGTCCGTCTGCCTACCTGTTGTGGTGTACAGTTGAGTCTGAACTGATCAATAGATCGATAGCTGACCTGACAGCAGTATATCACATAAGAGGAGATGGCCCATCTTTCTCCTGCAGCCTCTGTGGTAGATTTGAACCATGTACCTTTTCATTGGCAGCACAATTCCTTACCACTAAACTACGAGAGAAAGAAAGAGTGTCATACGGAGAACTAGGACAAGTATGTGTACTGTGAGTGTGAGTATGTGTTTATCTCTGTATATGAGAGTAGATGGCTAAGACTGGAGTGTGAGTGTAAGAATGTGTGTGTGTGTGTGTGTGTGTGAGAGAGAGAGAGAGAGATGGTTATATAGAGGAGACATACACACAGGAGTATGTGTGCTGTGCATGTGAGAGGATGTAGAGGATGTCAGAGGAGGGTGTATATGGTAAAGAGAGAGACAGACTCAGGGTCAGTATGAAGGGCTGGAAGTGCTTGTGTTTGTGTGTCTGTATATGTATAAACCGAGACAATCCTCTACCATGACAACTACATGGGAGAACGTGGGTAAGCCTGCGCCAGTTTTGTGGGGCTGTCTCTTTGAGAGGGACCCAATTAGCTCCATGGGTCTGTGAGCCAGCCGCCTGTGCCTTCTGAGTATCTGGGACACTTGGGGGTGAATGTCCAGCCTCCCTAAAGCATCCCATATGGCACGCTGCTGCTACAACTTCAGCCCCTCGCCTGGCAAGCCAGCCTCGCCATGTGTCTGGGTGTCACTCTCTGTGGGTCACTTGCACAGCTGACATCACCATCTCCCTCCTATGGGCCACTGTCCCTCCCTCTTGTATCCCTCTGCCCCCAAACAATGGCTTGGCCCGAGAGCCAAGGGTGAGTCAGCATGCAGGCTGCTCTGTCTGGGGTGTAAATAGGAAAGGGTGTGGGGCTGGGAGGGAACTGGGGGTGGGGAGGGAGGGGGAAGCCCCAGGGAGTGCCTCCCTAAGTGACCAGGTTCCTGGTCTCTCAGCCCAGGAAGTCTTATGATGACCACCCCCTCTCTGTCCTCTTCATCTGGGGGCCACAGGGGCTTCAGGGAGGCTCTCCTTAAACCTTTAAAAGTATGTCTGATAATAACAGCTGGCACTTATATAATTCCATATGCCAGGCACACTTCTAAGTACTCGTTGTTGTTGTAGTTACGTGCCGTCAAGTCAATTGTGACTTATTGCAACCCTATGCACAACAGCTCTGAATCCTGCTCTATCTTGAACCAATTTCATTGTCTCTGACACATCTACTCCCATTACCCCAGTCACTGAGTAAATCCATCTAATCCAGGGTCTTCCTCTCCTGAACCGTCCCCTCCACCCTCCCAAGCACGATGGCCATCTTCACGGGGTGGTCCTTCCTGCCAACAAGTACTTAGCGTTTATTAATTCATGAAGTTGGGAATATTATTATCCCTGATTTACTGCTAAGGCCACCGAGGCAGAGAGGGTGGAGGATTTGTTACAAGTTGCTTCAGCTGGTGATGAAAGAGCAGGGTTTTTAAGCCCAGGTGACTGACTTCAGAGCCTATTATTGTTATGTGTCACTGAGTCAGAACCGACTCATAGATGACCCTCCAGTGGATTTTCAGAGGCTTTAAATCACATGGGAGGAGACTGCCCTTTCTATCTCTAGTGGAACAGCTGCTGGCTTAGAACTGCATGTCTTTGGGTTGGCAGTGGAACTCCTTACCACAAAGCCACCAGTTAGTTTCAGTGAATTCTGATTCGTGGTGACCTCATGTGCCACAGTGGCACTGTAGACATTTCTTGGCTGTACACTTTATGGAAGCAAATTGCCAGGCCTCTCTTCCGCCGTTCCATGAGATGGGATGGGCCCAAATCCCCATGGTTAGAATGTCAGCTGAGCACAAAGGACCCTGTGCAAAATTATATGGTGTGTGGAGTGATTAGCTCTGTGTGTGCGTGCATGTGTGTGTGAGCGTGTGTGTACGTAAGGTGAGGTATATAGTGATTATATGATTCTGGTGGTTCGTGGGTAAGGAGTTGTACTGCCAACCCTATGACAGGTGTTTTCACCA